ATCTTAATTTAATAACATATAATAGCAATATATAGGATTTAACAATGATAATTTTTCTTTAAATCCTTATCCTATATCTTAATCTAATATGAGATTCTATTATAATATATTTTGTTTTAGCATGTTATTATTAGAATATAACCAACATACACTTCTATCAGCATTTAGTAATATAAAAAATATTTATAAAATATGTTTGTAATTATGCGATCTTTTAAGCATTTTATTACTTTCATATAATATATTTCAATCAATACATATACTAATTGAGAATGCATTTAATTTTACTTCAAATTTTAATCAATTAATATTTATAATTAGTATACTGAAGCAAGAAGTTAAATAAGAGGTTAGGATATATATAACAATAATTTATTTTTATTAAATTTATTTTTATTAACTAATACTACTAATAATTATTAAATAATTTATAATTTAGATAAGAGAGAGTTGGGATTTTCTCAAAGAATTAAAATAGTTTTTTTTCAGATTTGAGATCTTAATAAGAATTCTTTTGAAGAATTGATCTGGTAAATCTTCAGTTACGAACTTAATTTAAATAAAGGAATAGATTGATAATATATAGTAACTAAAAATTTTAATGATTTATGAAATAAATTTCTTGATAACATTGAAGAATTGATCAATGCATTTAAAGAAGAAAGAGTCCAGTAAGTAAATTATTAATTTTTTTTGTATTAATTGTTTTGCTTATTTTTATTAATTTATTTATTTTATTTATGAGAAAACATATAACCTTCAAAAAGTGATATTATTATGTTTGTTAATGAAGTTGTAACAATAAACACCTTGAAAAGATGGTTGAACATGACAAATATAACCAAATTAAAAGCTCAAAGCTTTTTATGAATTTTACAATAATTTATTTGAAGGGTATTTGCATTAAATTATAATTCAAGAGATACTAAGAAATGAAATTATTGGATAAGATAATAAAAGATATAGTGGTTTCTTCTTGAAATGAAAAAATATCACTAGTAATCTGCAATTGTAAATTATAAATTTAATTTTTATTTAATTGTATTTTTATAATAACAATTTTATTTTTATTAATAGTTTATAATGCGTATATATTACTTATTTTTATCAATATAATTTTTATTACGCAATCTTTATTAAAAAAACTAAAAAAATACAACTTGAAAATGTAATAGATTTATCATCAAATAATATAGAATACATTAAAAAAATATTTATTAAGTTAATTTTTTGGCTAACTTATAATAATATTTACATCTATTTAAGACTATTTATTTAATATATTATGATTTGGTTTTGATAAATTTGTGAGATTGATATTGTCACATACTTAATATTAAATTATTATAATTTGATAATAATCACTTAACTGCATAGTAACAAATTACAAGATTTTGCAAAGTAGATTGTAAAATCACTTTTAGACTATAACATTAAATTATGAAATCACAATTATAGTGTTATTATGTTATCATTAGACCATAACATCATCATTATAATCTAATTTAAGTTGTTAATATTTTTTTGATATAATTATATCAAAGAATTACTAATGATTATATCTACTTAGTAAAAGAAAAAATTATGATAATATTATCTTATTTTTTAGTTATCTTTAATTTATAATAAAATTTAAGGAACATGTGAAATAATATTAAATAAAAAAATTAAAAAGTGATTTTTTATAGTATATGATTAGCTAATTATTATTAAATTGCTAAAAAAAAATTATATAAAATATATTTGTATTTTAACAATAAAAAAGAAGTGAAAAATGAAATTTTTTTGAAGATTTATTTATGTGAAATAAATAAGGAAAAGAATACATAAACATAAAGGCTATATCATATTATATTATGCTTTATTAAGAATAAATTGTAATATTAATAGATAATATATCAATATATAATTATGATCATTTAAACTAAAGAGCAGGTAAACAACCAGATATTTTTGTTACTGTATATAACATTTATAGTTCTTTGCTTTACTTCAGACTAATAGTATTATAGTTAAAATATATTACAAGATTTATATAATTTATAATTTATAATATTTACATAATACTATAATTAAAGAACTTTATTAGTAAAATTAAAATGCAATAAAAATCAGAATTTGATATTTTTAAAAATCTTCTTATATTAGATTATTAATTCATATATATTAAAATAAATATTAATTAATATTATAATATTATATTATTAAACTAATCTTATAAGTTTAAGTATAAATTTTCCATCATAATCATGACCATCTTTTAATTATGGATTATTTAGATATTGATTTATTATTAATTTAATAATGTATACTATATAGCTTAAAACTTAAAATATATATAAATAAAGAAAATTGAATTTTAAATTTCACAATACAATGAATACAATCAATATCATATCCAATAATATTTATGTTCTCATATATGACAAGAAAATAAAACTATTATCAATATATCGAATATCAGTATATTGAGGTTATACCTTTTATTTAATAAAGTTAATAAAGTTAGAGACGTTTTGAATTCTCGAATAGTAAGTATGACAAACATTACCAATAAAGTTAATATGATCTTCACAATTCCGAAAATTTTTTCACGGGTTACCTTAAAAATTTCTGTAATATTCATGTGAAGAATTCTCTTTAAGTATTCTTTTATAAAACATTTTTTTTTTTAGGAAACATCGAACCTTCTTTTTTTTTTTTTTTCACTTGGATTCTTTTAATATCACATAATGCATATTGTAATGTAATGTAATCCTTTGGGAAGGAAAAAAAAAAAAAATACATCTTTCGAGATAAATGATAATGAACCTTTTTTTAGTTCTTTTAAAGGAACAAGAACTTTAAACATATGTATTCATTCATTATCATTGAAACCCAATTTGTGCCTATTCGCTTTCAATGTTTTTATTTGCGCATGAAAAAAAACAAAATGCATTTGATATTAACATGTTATTTTTTTTTTATACAAGAAAATAAACTTATTTTCAAATATCATTAACTCAACCACCAAAAATTTAGAAGCCATATTACTTTAAAAGTATTTTATCAAAGATTTTTTTTTTTGTTTCATCAAAAGGGTTTGCATTTTCCATGGTTTTAATTTAAAACATTTTTGGACTTTTGAAACCAAACTGTATTCCCCCGACAGATTATCATTACATCATCATACATCAGCAATATTAGATAATGTTGCGTCTTTCTTTATTTACACGTTCGGTTACACAAGACAAATGATCCGAAAACTAGGTATAAGCAGATTATGTAAGCAGGCTGGCGTATTTTTGCGAATATGTAAAATCATAAAATAAAAAAATAAAAAAATAAAAATTCTTTTTTTAAAGCACGTTTTTAATTTCTTTTATCAAAGTTAAACGTTAAAGACGTCATAAACTGTTGGAAATTGCAACAAAATTTTACCTTCTTTAAAAGGAAGAATGAAAATTTAACACAGCAAAGAATGTTTCAAACTAACTTGTAATGACCTAAGTCAAGAACACAAATTAATATAACTCTTTCACGCGATTATTAATATTAAAAACCTGTTTATAATACCCCAACTCCGAAAAATTTTATAAGAATGTTAAAAAGGCTTGTCGATCACACATTGCCTTTCATTTTTATTCTCCCAAATATTACAATTCAATGAACATCATTGTTAAATGTTGCGTTATTATCCATTTTAATGGACAAAGAATCCTTTTGATAGTACCTATCCTGTATGATTATGAATATTAAATGCGATGTAGAATTATCAAAATGGGAAGATATTTTTCGACTTGCAAGCGCAGTATTCGTAGATTGTGGTTACACCATTCATTTTTCATTAATTTTGACAGTTTTGTTGTTTGTGCACCTTGTTGATCGATGTCAAAACAATTGTCATTGTTAAACTTTAAAGTAATCTTTTTATTGTATGATAAAAAAAAGAAAAAAAAAAGAGAAAAAAAAACAAGAAAAAAAAATTTATTATAAAGATCCTTTATCGATTAAATAATCAATGCAAGAAAAAAATGGGAGGTTATACATGAACGGAAACAATAGCAAACAATGGAGAATGCCAAATGAATGGAACTTTTTTTAATAAATCGTTATTAGAACATGCTAAACTAGATGTGTTTCCATTGTTTTCTTTTGCATTTGCATAAATGAAAAAAAGATCATAAACACAATACATTACATAAAGCAGTACTTTTTTCTTTTTCCTTTTTTTTTTTTTTTTTTTTTTTATGAGTCTTCTATTTATACTATATTTATTACTTTTAAATGTGTTTGTTGTTATTTATGTTCGATACTGAATGCAAAAGTAGTTTGATATTGTAAATAATAAATCACTCAATATAAATCGTTCAATCCTTTTCTTTGAAAACTTAATTTTCTTTTTTACTCTAATTATTTTGTCTTAAATTTTTTGTCATAATTTTTTCTCTCTAAATAAAATTGTAATTGAAAAAGAAAAAGAAAAAGTAATTGTCGAAAAAAAAGGAAATGAAAATTTTATAATATACTAATTATATACACGAGTAAATAATAAGTCAAGGAAAACCTTTTTTTTCATTTGCTCAAGTTAAAAAAAAAACGGGTAAAAAATAAGAAACAAACAGGTTTGTCGCATGCATTTAATTTAAATTAAATCCCTGCATGTTATTTCATTACGACAGAATGCTGCGTGAAAAAAAATTTTAACGACGACTCTTTAACTAATATAATCGGAAAAAAAAAAAAAAAAAAAAACAACGAATGAATATTTAACGCCAAACTTTCAGAATATCTTTAACGAACAAGATAAGTATTATCAAAAGAAAAAAAATCAACTTTCAAAGGGAAATTACTAATATAAAAAAATTGTTATATATCGAAAACGCGGTAAAAAAAAAAATTTTTAAAAGAACCTAATATTTTTGGACGACTTACTATTTTAGGAACATGCCAAGTAAAAAAAAAAAAAAAGAACAAAAACCCCCCCTCAAGACTTACCCTCGGATTTTATTCTCCATGTTTCAATTTTCATGACCTTGCAATAAAATTCTTTTTTGTCGTTGTCCTTTTTCTATTGACATTTCGACCTCCTCATATAATCTTTCTCCCCATTCTGGTATCGTCCCTCTCGCTTCTACACCATTAACATTGCCCACGATTCCGTTCAACCGAGGATACTTGCTCAAAATTGCTTCAAAAAGTTCGAGTTTAAGCTCTTCTTCGAGAGCTACTTGAAACTTAGCATCGATGCCATACAAAGTATATGTGTATTGATCTATCCCATATTGCAGACACGCGGAGGCGTAAAGTAACGCCTCAAAGAATGGTTTCATTACATGGGTTTTTGTTAGATTTCCAGTGGGTGGCCGGTGATCTTTGGCGACCTCCGTGAAAGAACTTGTTTGTCCGGGTTCCGCTTCATCGTGTCTTGGTATTTGTTCGCCACTTCCAGGGCACAAAGAATATTCAACTCCATCGCCTCGACCTCGAAATTGCCTCACCATCACCCAATTTCCGTCTTGCTCTTCTCTCAAAACCACGCTCGTTTCATTAATTGCATCACTTCCTCGTTCTTGCCACTCTCTTCCTGACAACTGCCAAGCTCCTCTTCTCAATTTTTCCACTACAGCACTCGCGACCTTTTCTTCTTCGTCACATACGTGAATACCTTCGTATAGCATTTGCCGGACCTGTGTCATTCTTTGAACGCATTTGATAAACCAGTTCACACCTTCGGAATCCGTTGGTGCTGCGTATGGTATTTTAGCCATATTCTCGCGGAATAATCGCATCCTTCCTTGTTGATCATATTTACAATGATGAGATAAGAAGTGCTGAATCGTCGTGGAATTTAATATTCCAAGAAAAAAATACGGAGGAAGCTTTGTGGTTTGCTTAATCGTAAAATATATGCACTTTCACAAAGTTGTTGAGAAGAGGTTAGTAAAAGTGAAGGTCTTTAATACCGGAATATATGGGAAAAGTTTGTAATTCACCTGATTGGTTACACAAACATTGTCTTCGTCGATGAAGAACCGTTGACGTGGCTAAAAATAAGAAACAAATTATGCATATAAATATATTATGAAATGATAACATCAATATTCAAAAAAAAAAAAAAAAAAAAAAAAATCCTATGGACGTGTAAGTAAATAAGAAACCTACTTGATTTTTTGAAAAGTATCCGTAATTAATAGGATGGACAATTTTCGTTTTGAAATCAATCCTATAAGATATAAGTTAAATCATAAAATAAGCAAAAAAATTTCGTTTGTAACCAAGTATGATTCATTTCCACGTTAAAAGTCCCAACTATCTATTTGCTTTATTAAAAAACATAAAAATCCATGTAAAGAAAAGAAAAATAAAAGCTGATAACCCCGAATAAAATCTTTACACAGAGATACACGGTTATAATAGCAAACAGCTGATGATTATGTTGCTTACCCGCATTTACTTGTGCCGCAATATGCAATTTCCCTGGAGTTCATACCGGTTTGTAAATATATGCGCGCTTCCTTTAGATACTTCCAGAACTCACTATGTTCACCAAAGTCCCTACGAACTTTGTCAACAGCATCTCGATCGACCATTATTAAAGAATACATCGATTTATCCTGTTCGAGCCCACCCTTAGCTATCGTAGTTCCACCAGAGTTGTATGAAATAAAAGGCACATATGCTTCCGCAGGCGAGCTTTCTTTCTTTTCTAATCTTAATTCGTCACCCATTTTCTGCCAAAATTCAGCTTCTTTTCCTCCATTTTTTCCATTCCAATAAAATACTGGACGTAACCAACGTCTACACACATCAGTGCCAAATTTACTGTACGCCCAATTTGTTCGAACAACGAGAGCGTAAACTGGATTCGTATTGGGGCCTCTGTGCCAAATTAATGGGTTATTTTCAACCCAAGTATGTTTCATGCTAGCATGGTCACACAGAGAAGGTAGATGCGAGGTAATGGTACGGAGATAGGTGCTCACTTCTGAAGAAGGCATTAAAAACGTAAACGAGAATGAACTGGTCTGAGACGGCAACTGTGTTGTTGGATACGGCGGTGTCAGCTTGTAATGCATATCCTTTTCGAACTGAGTAGTGAGGTTCGAATTAAAATTATTGTAGGCTTGCAGAGTTTCCTGCAGAGTTGCCTTGCGATTCATGTATCGTAAGAAAAGAATTTTGGGCTCCGATACGGCAGGTCGTACAGAAGGGACGCCAGCTGTTAGGATCTCACGTCTACGACGTAGTCGAAATATTAGAGAATCTGTTTGTATTTTACGCCAGACTTTAAACGGTTCGAATTGGAAAAATTCAACGAGATGACACCTCTGCCATAACCATGCTCTATAGTATGTATGCAATTGGACGGAATGATTGGTAAGAATTTAACCATTTGATGCAGAATTATAATAAAAATAGAACAATTTTGCGCTCTAACCTCAATTTATCGGCGAATTCTAATCCCATCCATTGGCTTGCTATCGTATATATAAATAAATAAATAAATAAATATAAATAAATACATTAAACATATTTATACACGTACATACATATGTATATTAAACAAGTTTTTTTTGTTTTAGTAATTATTAAATGTATGATGACTCTATCAATGAACACTTTTTAATATGCTATTGTTTAAACGCATAATTTGAATTATGTGAAGTCACACAAATCTAGATATTTTCGTCAAACAAATATAGTTACATGAAAATCTTTCACGCAAAACTATAAAAACAAGTTTCAAAACAAGAAACATAAAATGCAAGGGGAAAAAAATTTGCTTACCACTAATAAGACAAATCTCGCCTGTTTCCTCTTTACATCTTTCGACGCAGAACCAAAAAAAATATGCATAAGCTTGCATTCCACCTTTACCCAAAACTCTTTCGTCAAAGAGCTCACTATCAGGCTCCGATATAAACCCCGTCTTTCTAATCATATATGGTGGATTAGTGACGATAAAGTCAAACTTGAGATTTTGGGGTGAACGCAATAATTGTAAATTTTCACATTCCCATGCATGTTCACCTTTTTCTTCTGGAAGGTATAAATTTAAGGTATCATTACGAAACAAATGAAACCTCTCTAATTTAATATTATTATTATAGTTGTTCAGCACAAGAAACCGCTTAAAGAGCGGAATGATGTGCAGCGTGATATTTATTTTGCATAGCAGGTATGCAATCACGTCGATCTCTATACCCCAAAGATTTTTGGACAATGAAAGAAGAAGATTGGAGATCGCTCTCGGATTATTCCATACATTGGGACATTGCTGAGCTGCAAGAGTCAGACGACTTATAAACTCACAGAGGAAGGAGCCTATCCCCATACAGGGATCTAGAACGCTAGGAGCCTGAGGAAGACTTCCCAAAGGAGACACCAAAAGCTTATCCAACCAAGTATCGTTTCCTTTGTTAACTAACACACGGTCCCACATGAATATCATAACCTCCCTTGGAGTATAAAATTGACCATGATCTTTTTGTTGTTCTTTGGCAAAGACATTTAGAAAATGTTTTGTATAGAACATTGATAATATTGACTCAATTTGTTCAATTTGCTCCAATGTAAAATGAACTCCAAGAGTTTGAAATCTCGCCGAAACGGTACAGGATTGATACTGAGGGTTCCTCACAAAAGCATGATAGAACCATGTGAAAGCTTCTATATTTTCTCCCTTGCTTTGCAGTTGATCATTATTAAATGGCATATTACTACTTTGTTCGGAAAAATTATCTTCTTCATGAAAGATTTTCATGAAATCTTCTACTTTTGGTACTACTTCGCTATCCTCCCGCATAAAATCCAAAGCTATAGCGTCAAACAACATTTGGATTACGGTGACAAAAGATGTCTTTTGACAGTAGAAATTTAATATGTTTCTGAATAAATCTACCACAGTAAAAGTTGACATCATGGGAGAAATTGGTGGAATTGTGGGGATTGAAGAAACTGCAGCGATAAGACCTCGAATTTGATCGTCGTCATTAATAGTAGGAAGAGAATTGGCCAGTTGTGAGGACGAAGGATCATTGACAAATTTATTATAATCGCGACGAAGGCATGAGAGAATGAAAGGATCCAATCGTTCCAAACCGGGAAGATCTGAAAAATATGTAAAAAGGATCGAAATTAATAGGTACCAGTACCAAATTTGGTATTTATTTCTAATTTCATCCAATAAATAAGTAACCATAAACAATAAAATTTTTCCGAAAAATTTGTCGTAATAATTTTTTTTTTTTTTTTTTTTTTCTTTTTGAAACGCTCGCCCAAACCCATTAAATTCCTACCACCTTTAACACCAAAAATAATTAAATTATTTTTTTTTTTTTTTTTTATAAAAAAAAAAATCTTACCTGAATGATTTTTTGTAATTTCATTCCAAATATCATATTTAAAATCATCCAATACGATGCCTAGAACTTCTACGACTTTACTTACTAAATCTTCAGAAAGCAGGTTTGTAGAAAAGGATGAAAAATTTGATGCGAATGTTCCTTGTCTTCTATGTGAATTGCTTGACTCGTTCTGAGCCGGGTTGACAGTCTTGAATATATAGGGGGTCGGAAATGTCATTTCCGAATTCTGTCGCGTTTGAGTTGAGTCTTGAAAAAAGTAATTCCATGCTTCAGGTCTCGGATCTTCTTCAACATCGTTAAGAACAACTTTTAGCCAATCGCCACTGTTATTCGATGAAATTTCATTAGTAGACTTTGAACGAAGTCTTTTAGAACGAGTGAAGGTCGTGCTATCGATTTTTTTAACTACATTTGCCATTTTTCAAAAAAATGACTTAAAAGTGTGTGTGTTATTCTATAAATTTTTTGAAGAAACGTTTGTAAAAGGAAAGGTTGTTGTCTATTTAAAGAAAATAGTTTGAAAAGCCACCACCTTTAGGCATATTCAAGACCGACTTTGTCAAGAAAGACGGTTATTTAACTTTTCGCTAAAATTAAAGAATACGATGTTTCTATCCGCCTTCCGACAACTTTGGCCAACTCAGAGCCACAGGCGATTATTTAGCGATTTTCTTTGGTGAGACGGTAAAATACAAAGCGATATGGCGAAGAAGGTTGTGTGGGTTAAGCATTTGTTTTGCGTTTTATTATAATTTTCTGTCGTCATGAAAGACATAACACGTGATTGCAACTTTCGGAGGGAAAACAAAATATATTAGGCAGATGCACTAAATATTAAATTGTGATGTAAATAGCTAAATAAGTAGGGGGGTGGGAGGGGTTTGGATAGGGAGGGGTTTTTTCGAAAACCCCAATACGTTAATAACCTCCGCCCTTCTAACCCCATTTCCCGATTAACCAGTTTGGTAACTTGTTTGAAGGTGAGAGTTTTTAATAAGAAAGTTTGCATAACTTGCAAAAGAAAGATTTCCGAACTTCCAAATGAGACATGTGTACAACACATATTGTGGCGAAGCGGAAAAAAGCTAGTTGTATATATATATATATTTTTTTTTTTTTGGAAAAAAATTTTTTTTTTTTTTGAGTTGTTTTATTTGGACATTTGGGGGAGGGGAAAACAAAGACAACTGTATGTATGTATCGAGGTACCGAGTTGTGAGGATAATTAATTTATTTATGATAATCATAATTTACAGTATCGAAAACATAAATACTGTCAAATGAATGAAAATCATTATTTTTTTATATATATAGATATTTTTTTTTTTATCCTAATTAAAACGTTCGGTACACTGTACTTCATACCTGTTTTTTTTTATTTTATTTTTTTTTTTTTGTTTTTTTTTTTTCTTAAAACGGCGCGGTCAGCATATAAACTCGAATATTCTAAAAGATATAAAAGAACGCGATTTATCAGATAATAAATTTAGGTACTCGCGGCTAGACCTTCAAAAAAAAAAAAGAAAGAAAAAAAAAAACGCCAAAAAAAGAAAAAAAAATTTTTTTTTTCTCAAAAAAAAAAAAGGGTGATTGTGAAGAATAATTACCACTCATGTAATGACATAATCAATGATTTGCTAATCCAAGATAATACTAATGGACTTCCAAAATTAATGTTTGTATCATTAGATTTTGCGAAAAAAAAAAAAAAAGAGCTAATAAGTGATTGATCGACCAAAGAAGATTTAACGTACAACATGCTCGTTTACCGAAAAGAAATTTTTTTTTTTTTTTACATTAACAAATCTATTACAATCGATTACATCACACTTCATTCAATTGTAAATGAGAAACACAATACAAAAGGAAACACAATACAAACGGATGCAAAGAAAACAATAATTGTCCAAATATTTTTTCATGGTTCAAAAGAGGAAACATCCGTAAACGCCTTTTGATAAATGATTGAGAGCACAATCTAACAAATAGTTCTTGTGACCTATTACATCTAATAAAAAAAAATGATGGGATTCACAATGAACTTTATTTATTTTATTAATTTATACAATTCATAACATGATAGTATATTCAAAAATGGAATTAATTTTACCATTCAACAGATAATCCGACACAAATATGGTCAGCCCAACCACCAATCGCGAAAGTTAATATCACATATTCGTGTATTAGTTGGTGACATGTCTTGGTAGATTAATCCCCCATATTTTGAACCCTAAATTTCACGAACCCAGGGTCCGCATGTTCGGGAAGTGAGGGCAAAAGAGAGCATTTAGACCATATATATAAATATTGTACTCGTACAATCCACCTAAACCTTAATATTATCACCACGATTCCTTATCATATGGAATTGATTCGTGTAATTATTTTTGTACTTATGTGACTTGAAATTTTTCGTGATTCGTTCCTGGTGATCTGTTGATTAGGTTTCAATGGTCAAAAAAAAAAAAATTGAAAAAAAATGGCTTTTTTTTTTTTTTTTTTGACAAAACGCGAAAAAAAAAATTACATGTACGTACGTCATGATTTAATTGACCCAATTACCTTTTGGATCTAACCAATCTAGGCGGAATTATGCCGGAGTTTATCATTAATTAAACTAGATTGAGTAATATAATACTGTATTGGAAATCAATTGAATTCGCGTCTTTTTTGTCACGGTTTCACAATGCTTACTACTACTACCTGGCGATCAAGGTTTAAACTGTTCCACCGGGAAATTCTTTGTGCGACTTTTTGCGACTTTGAGAAAAAAAAAGAAATTGTAACAAATTCGGAGCTTATCTCTTTATGTCAATGTAATAGCCCGAACATCTCCGCAAAAAAAAAGGAAGACTTCGCTACGTCAATTACGTCAGCCATTCTCATTTGTCACCAACAAAAAGTATTGCTGCGGATATTTCGAACAAGATGGCAGATTGATAAGAATTTTCTCTCTCTCTCTCTCTCTTTTTCCTATTTCCTAACAAATTTTTAATTTTTATTTTCTTCTAAAGAATTAAAAAAAAAAAATAGGAAAACTCGTTTTTTTCCTTTACTCATATTCGCTCCCCACCATCTAAAAAAGAAAAAAAAAAAAAAAAAAGCCATTCCCACCCCTTTTGAAAGGTATAATAACATCATGTCTTTATGATGGTAAGCAAGATTACAAAATCTATTTACATGACAAATATTAAGCCTCAAAAAATTTTTTTTATCTTGTTTTAAAAAAAAAAACCATTACCTCATGATGTAAATTCATTTCTTGGTAATGATATTGTTTTGATAATAGCAACAACGTTCGTCGCTCGTTTTTCGTTCGTTAGCAAAATGTGCTTTCGTAATCCCGTAGAACAATAACCGATTGTAATACTTTGTCTTTATATGGAGGTTAAATAATAAATACTTTTGAGTAATGATTATTCTAATTTTTTTTTTACTCTTTTTTTTTTTAAAAAAAAGGGGGCACCCCCTTATCATAATATTGGGTGTTTGTTTCGATTATTAGAAAAGAATATAATAAAAAATTTAAATGTCTCGCGCGTGACACGTAAAATATATTTCGGAAGGAAAGATATATCCTTGGGGCTCCTTCCATTGCACTTCCTCATTTGTAACTAGCCCATCAATAAAAACGCACATTCATTCGTATGTTTAAAGTCTTTGTTTATGCAAATCTTTGTCTAATGGTATCACGGAAATCCCGCAAGTAATGAGGTAGCGCGCGCCTTTGTCTTTTTTCTTTGTTTTTTTTTTTTTTTTTTTTTTTTTTTTTTTTTTTTTTTTTTTTTTTTTTTTTTTTTTTTTTTTTTTTTATTTTTTT